ATAGATATATATATATATATATATATATATATATATATATATATATATATATATATATACTAGTGGAAGGGCATCTGCTGCGTAAAAACATGAAGGAGAAGTTGGCGGTTCATTCCGCTGTGGCGATCCCGGATTAATAAAGGGACTAAGCCGACAATAAAATGAATGAATGAATGAATATATATATATATATATATATATATATATATATATATATATATATATATCTCCATCAAGTTTTTACGCAGCGGATGCCCTTTCAGCCGCAACCCATCTCTGGGAAACATCCACACACACATTCACACACACACTCATACTATGGACAATTTAGCCTACCCAATTCAACTGCACCGCATGTCTTTGGACTGTGGGGGAAACAGGAGCACCTGGAGGAAACCCACTCGAAGGCAGGGAGAACATGCAAACTCCACACAGAAACGCCAACTGAGCTGAGGTTCAAACCAGCGACCTTCTTGCTGTGAGGCCACTGCACTACCTACTACGCCACTGCCTCGCCTATATATATCATGTCAATGGAGGTAAATCTCTGAGGAATATTTTCAGTAGCTTATTTAATCTCTGCCACAAAGGATTAATGCATTTCTGAAGGCAAAAGGAGGACAACCCGGTTCTAGTAAGGTGTACCTAATAAAGTAAGGCGTGCCCAATACACTACCGACTGTAAATGTGTGATTAAGTCATAGTTGAAATGTTTATGTGTCCAGTTATGCTAAATGAGCATTAAATGTGAAACTGAAATTAAACCCTTAGTAAATTCATCAATAACATCTGTCAGTTTTGTTCTTCAGCACATCGGGGAAGGTGTAGATCTGATGATTATTGTCTTGTTTGTGCATGTTGTGGCAGCACAGTATTTTCCTGTCAGCAAATGACGGATTGATGAATAGAATCAGATGTTATCAAGCATCTGCCCTGGCTTGAAGGCCTTTTCTCCACACTAATGCAGAAAACACACCCAAAGATTTCTGAGGATCAGCTGTAATTTCTGCAATTGTTATGAGCAGACAGTGCATGCACAACCAAGGCTTTTGGAAACGCAGTCGCGTCTGTTACAAATCCTTCTATTAAGAGTTAAGTGCCATGAAAATCCATAATTTCTTACATAAATCGCTAACAAAAACAGGCAGTTCCTCTAATGAGATTTAGGCGTCTGGGGGAAAGGTGTTTTCTCTTTTACTTTATGATGTGTTGACATAATCAGCTTGAGATCTGGTTATTACATGTCTTGTTTAACAGCAGCTGTTTTGTGCACATCATTTATATTTATTTAAATATCTTGTCACAGCTTTACTGCTTGATTATTATCAATTATAAATAAATTAAATTAATTATTAATTATTAAATATCCATCACTTGTTTAAAATTAAATAGTATGTAAATATTATAGTCAGTGCAATTAAGTGCAATTTGCTTTTAAAACATTTCTCTTAATTTTTATATATTTTAAATATGTACATTTTATGTAGGGTGGTTCAGTGGGTAGCACAATCGCCTCACAACAAGAAGGTTAATGGTTCGAACCCCGGCTGGATCAGCTGATGTTTCTGTGTGGAGTTTGCATGTGCTCTGGTTTCCCCCACAGTCCAAAGATATGCGGTATAGGGGAATTGGGTAGGCTAAATTGTCCGTCGTGTATGTGTGTGAATGAGTGTATGGATGTTTCCCAGTGATGGGTTGCAGCTAGAAGGATATCTGCTGCGTAAAACATATGCTGGATAAGTTGGTGATTCATTCCGCTGTGGCGACCCCTGATTAATAAATGGACTAAGCCGACAAGAAAATGAATGAATAATAATAATAATAATTATTATTATTATTTAACAAACCTGTCATATTCTGCCCTAAAATTATAGCAATTAAATGTGAGAAAATATATTTTGCTAAATTAATAAAATTAAATAATATTTTAATGATTATTTGTTAAAAATAAAATAGTAATAAAATATTTTAGAGAGAGCAATTAAGGGCACATTATTTTTAAAACATTTATTTTAAGTGTTAACATTTCAATTATATATATATATATATATACACACACACACACACACACACACACACACACACACACACACACACACACACACACACACACACACACACACACACACACACACACACACACACATAATAATAATTGTTAAATTGTTATTATTATTATTATTATCATTATGAACAATAATTTAACAACTCTGTCATATTATACTTTAAAATTATTGTAATTAAGTTTTTAAATATTATAATCAGTGCAATTAATTGCATTTATTTGTAAAGCATTTCTCTTAATTTTTTAATTTAACTTATGCATTATATATATTTTTTGTATTCTTTATGATGATGATGATGATGAGGATGATGAGGATGATGATGATGATTATTATTATTATTATTATGATTATTATAAACAATAATTTAACAAGCCTGTCATATTCTACTCTTAAACGATTGCAATTAAAAATTGGAAAATACATTTAGCTAAATTAATAAAATAATATTAAATGACTATTTGTTGCAAATTGATTTTAAAACATTATATATATATATATATATATATAATGTATATTAAAATTGTGTGTATGTGTGTATATTTGTATGTATCTTTATTATTCTTATTAAGTGATATAATAATAAGAAACAATACAAAGTAACTAAACACTTTTCAGCATGTGTGTCAAAGGTGAAAAGAGTTTTAAAGCTTCATTTGTTTTGTGCATTAGAATGTGTCCTATTTTGCATTTAATTATATTTTACTTTGTGTTACTTTCTAGGCCAAAGTAATTACTACCATACCTTTTAACGATGATTTAGACTGAAGATAGATACTAAAATTCTATAAGCAACAGTTTATTTACAGTTTATTTACAGTTATATTACAGTTTATTTCAGTTTTATTACAAAATCATTACAGCATATATATATATATATATATATATATATATATATATATATATATATATATATTAATGTCACAGTTCAACCTCAAAATTCTAATTAAATGTGTTTAAATTTCCAAACCAGTCCTTCAGGTTTTATCTGTTTGTCAGCAGGTATTAATCATTTAAAACAATAAAACACTGCAGAATAATTATGTTGTTTAGTTTGTACATGAATACATCAGTTAGAATGAATGACGATGGAAAATTTATTAAATATATATTAATCTATGTAATAAATCTATACTTCATCAAGGCCACTTCGGTTGGCACAAAAGTTTCAGCTAGTTGTTCCCAAGTCTCGATTAAAATCAAAAGAACACAGGGCTTTTTCTGTTGCAGCCCCTAGTCTTTGAAATGATTTGCCTTTATATATATATATCGGGTCATGCTCTTCCCTTGATGCTTTTAAATCTCACTTTAAAAATCATCTTCTTTCTCTAGCATTTAATTGTAATTAATTTTATTTTGTTTACATGTATAGATTTTGCGTGTTGGTTGATTTGTAAAGCACTTTGGTCCAAGGGTGTAGGTTTGCTTTTGACATTGGTGGGGATTGGTGAATTCAACCCCCAAAATATATAATAATAATGCTATACTAAAATGTATTATTAATAAATATAAATATAAATTAAATAGTATAATGCTTATTACCTGATAAAGAGAGAGTTTACTAAAAACTTCTGTTTATTTTAGCCATAGTGCAAATGAAACATGTCTTATATATAGGTGTTAATAATAATAGAATGTGATTTAACCCTTTTTGCATGTCTATAATATTCACTCCGCAAATTAAACTATTGGTGGGGACTTTTCAGTTGTCAGTGGATATTGATGGGTACGTGTCCCCTCAGTCCATGCTAAATCTACACCCCTGCTATTGTCAACATTTGTGATTTTTAAATGTGCCATAAATATAGCAAACAAACAATAAATAAATATTAAAAAAATAATATAGTAAAATAATAAATACTTATATTAATTGTAATGTTTAATTATACAAAGAATATATAATTTAAATAATATATATAACAAATATTAGTCATATTTTTTGTTATTTATTTTTTTCCTCAGCCTTTTTTGGGGCATGTTTAACACTGTCGTTCGGCGCCTCCTGTTGGTTAACAATAAAGTGTATCGTTTAACATATGCAACTCTGAGCTCATAAATATTAATTACCCCACGCTAACCCTCCAATAGAGTTCGTCCAAATATCTAATTAATATTCATGAGTGCAGGAGCGCGGACCAGTAGACGGCGCTGTGATCTCTCGGTGTTCGTGAAGCACTCTTTAAGCGAAGAGGAACACACAGCACAACGTGAGAACCATGCCGAAATCCAAGAGAGACAAGAAAAGTAAATGTTTTATAATTTACACTCTATGAATTTGACACTTTATGAATTAAATTACTCGACATATAATCCGCATTCATTGTAGCAGCTAAATGAAAGAAACCTGTCAGATATTCGACGTGTATTTACATCTGAGCTGGTGTAGTACTGAGAAAAATCGCTTGTTACTCATAAGTTAGACACAAATGCATGTGTTTGAACTGAAGTTTATTGCTTAATCTCATTTATTAAGATTATTAAAGCAGATGTGCGTGTTATTGTGCCTTGTAGTAACACCAACATTGTTTATTATCTTACTTTTAACAGTTTCTTTAACCAAAACAACCAAGAAGGGGTTGGAAGCCAAACAAAACTTGATTGAAGAGGTTAGTATGACTTTTAAATCCTTTCTTTTGGAGGACTGATATTGCTTGATTGAGGTAAAGTTGGTTTTGTATACCATCCTATTACGCAGTCAGAGAACTATAAGTACTTGGACATTTACATTGACAGTTCTTTTAAATGGAAAACACACACAGAGTGGATTTGCTCTTGTTTACACCAGATATTGTATTTTTATATTGGTTACGTCTTTTTGGAGTCAACAAGAAGCTTATGATGTTGTTTTATAAAGCATTGTCAGGTATGGTATCATTGTCAGTGTGATTGGCAACCTGTCTGTACAATAGAGGTAAAGTGAGTTTTATATTTTAATGTAATGTAATGTGTGTATTTATATAGCGCATTTATTGTGTATGGCCATACACCCAAAGCGCTTCACAATCATGAGGGGGGTCTCTCCACACCACCACCAGTGTGCAGCATCCACTTGGATGATGCGATGGCTGCCACAGGACAACGGCGCCAGTGCGCTCACCACACACCAGCTATTGGTGGAGTGGAGGGACAGTGATAGAGCCAATTCGGTGGAGAGGGGATGATTGGGAGGCCATGATCGTAAGGGCTGATAGAGGGACTTTGGCCAGGACACTGGGGTTACACCCCTGCTCTTTCACGAGAAGTGCCTTGGGATTTTTAATGACCACAGAGAGTCAGGACCTCGGTTTAACGTCTCATCCGAAAGACGGCGCCCACTGACAGTGTAGTGTCCCCTTCACTTTGTACTTGGGCATTAGGACTTACACAGACCACAGGTTGAGCGCCCCCTGCTGGCCTCACTAAACCACTTCCAACAGCAACCTAGTGTTCCCTAGTGGTCTCCCATCCAGGTACTGACCAGGCTCAGCCCTGCTTAGCTTCAGTGAGTAACCGGTCTTGGGCTGCAGGGTGACATGGCTGTGGCGCACATTCGTCCATTTAAAAGTCTCTATATTGTTTACCATGTTACTTTGAATATTCGATCGGATTTAGCATGCAAGTATGACTTGAAAACATCATCAACACTGTTTATTTGACTGTGAACAATGTTGTACTTTGATAGTCATTTGCTGCTAATATGATTTCACTATTTAGAGTTTGCAAATAATACTTTTATGAAATTATATTATTAAGGGGAAAGTTTGAATGTGCGAATATAAAACCAACTTTACCTCAATATCTGTACAGTGTAAATCTAAGCTGATGCATTTATTAAAGACAGGATGGAAAATTGTTAGGCACAATGAGTATTTTAATTATCACGTTTTATACGAGAATTGTGTCCTCAATCAGGTTGAACGGATTCTGAATGATCCAACTCATTTTTAGTTTCCTTATTATGCTCCGCAACCCTCTGGTAGACATGTAGAGTCCCTTAGTGTAGGTTTAACACCCATCTTGAAAAGTTTGCCCTCTCACATATACTAATGTGCCACAAACAGGACGTTAATATCACCAACCATTCCCATTTTATTAACCAGTTAAACTCTGCTGTTATTTTGGGATTTCCGCCTGGATTTTGCCTACCCAAATTTAAAAGCTTCCCAAATCCACATGCAGAGGTGTAAATGCAAAAATTTGGTATCATTTTAAAGAAAACCCATTGAATTTTTATAAAACACCGTTGAAAGTGTTTAAAATAACTGTATATGTTGTCTGTGTTATAATAAACACCTAAAAAAAGAGGCGCTTTTTGTATTTTTTTTTTTTATAAACTTAAATTTGAAAGTGTACCTTTTAGGTTCTGTGTGGTCTAGCGTGCTGTAATTAATTTTGGTGGTTCCTGCACATGTTTGTAATCATAGGAAAAAAGAAAAAGGTCTCTACCATAATCTATGCAAAAGTTATTGTATTCCAACTGATGAGAGGTGCTGTACAAGCCACAGGGAGCGATCATTGTTTTCATATTTCACTATTCTTTTGTTTGATCAAACATAATTCACTATGTTTGGACCACGTCAGACATATAAAAGGATTACTTATGCACATCACCTCAAAAACAGAGGAGAAATAGCCCTGAAGCGCACAGCATAAGATAATAGATGACAGCTGTCTGTGCTATCTGGGGCTGCTTATTGATTATGAATGTCTTGTTTTCACTTCTGCGCCATGGAAACACCACAATTCATTCAACAACTGTTTGGCACATGAATATAATTAAGTAAAAAGAATGCTAGAACCGTATGAGCTCCGGCAAGAGCTTTCATTTGAGCTATAACTTGTACATGTGTCATATGAAAAATATAAAAATAAACCAATGTAAAATACCCAGCTTGGGAATCCAAAAACTGGGTATTTAAGTGTAAATAACTTTTATACAGTAGGATAAAAACCAAAGTGATGCATATGTGCATAAAATATAGATTCTACACTTTCAAACGACACCACTTACGGGGGTCTAGTGCAACGCTAGCCCTTTAAATCTGAAAGCGAAAGTCGATGACGTCACCGGGTCCGCAGAGTTTAAGTGGTTATGGTGTATCTATATAAATGGCCCACCCTGTATACTGATGTAATCGTACAACAGAAACGGATATAGTGACAGGCCTACTTAATCCAGATTACATATAGTTTGTTTCTACTCAAAGATGTCCATCATAATATATGCACTTGTTCTAGTAATATTGTATCACCATTCGATCTGTCCCCTGATTTTAAGATGACTTTTTCCACTTCTCTTGCTCTCAGCTGCGGAAATGTGCAGACATCTACAGATACGTGTTTGTGTTCTCAGTGGAAAACATGAGAAACAACAAACTGAAAGACATCAGGACGGCCTGGAAGCATAGCAGGTCTGAAGACGTGTGCACTTTTGAGGATTTTTGTTTTATGATTTTAGGATTAATGCAGAGTTTGGGTTGGATTTTTCAGGTTCTTCTTCGGTAAGAATAAAGTCATGATGATTGCGCTGGGTAAAGGACCAACAGACGAATACAAAGATAACCTGCATAAAGTATGTCAGACCCAGATTTCCATGCTTAATGATGAATTTTATGAGCCTCGCTGGGTAATATAGAGCTTTCAGCAGTTATTCAAGTCGTCTGGTTTGTTTTGCAGCTGAGCAGGTTTCTCCGAGGGGAAGTGGGGGTTTTGTTCACAAACAAAACTAAAGATGAAGTGCAGGAGTAAGTATTTATTTAAATGAAATTCAGAAACCAGTTAATATGATTTGATGATCTGAATTGATGCCTAAAGGTTGAATATGCAACACTATTTTCAACTTGAGTCTAAAAATGTATGTGTTTACTTGTAGAAGTGTTAGTTCTGTCTTTCCCAAATCTAACGACATCTATTAATACGTTATTTATGAATATGTATTTTGATAGACCTAAATGAAATGTCTTTCCACAGATATTTCGGGAACTTTAAAGAGGTGGATTATGCTCGTGCTGGAAACACAGCAAGCATGGCGGTGACTCTGGATGAGGGTCCGCTGGATCAGTTTCCACACTCAATGGAGCCGCAGCTCAGACAGCTCGGCCTCCCGACCGCTCTGAAGAAAGGTAAACCTTTAAAGCATCTTAACGCGACAAAAAATAAGTTGGACATTATTTATCGTGTGCCTTACGATTTGTCACACTTGTAAGTGCACACACACATCACTGATTTATGTAATTTAAATTAGGGCTGTGCAATTAATCGAAAATCCGATTTCGATTTCGGCTTCAAATGATAATGAAGAAGCATTAATCGAGATAAACGATTATTGCATCATATACCGCCCCCTTTACAGCTGTACACGTTTGTTGCTCTTAAAAGCACGAAAGACCGCGCGCTTGTGTGTGTGCAGCACGCGCACACAGTCAGAAGCATGCGGCCGGTCAGCATTCGGTCTCATTTGCACACTGAGTCAAGCAGAGGAGCGCAGACATCTAAAGTCATCTTAACATGAGCGCTTTAATGGTCAAATAGGTGTCAAAATGCGGTGTTTAGTGACAGGGTTCAACGCTAAGGCTTTTTTCTACTGGTCTGATCGGGCCAGTGGTTCTGATTTTTACTTGCCCTGCCAAAATTTTCACTGGCCCCACCAAAAAAAGAACGGGAAGTTAATAGCTATTTTTTTAGATGCATATTTTAAATAATGTGTCAAAAATAAAGTCTCTGAATCTAGAATTTTAATACTTAAAAAAATTGTAAATAAAAGTGTTATGCAAACAAAAAGAGCAGTATGGAAAATCTGGAGGTATTTTATTGCGGTTTGAAATTATTTAACAGAGGGTGGCTGACTTGGCTGTGTTTTTTTTTTTTTTTTTTTGCATTGTTCACACGTAAATTTCTGCTTTCAAGACGTTAGAAACAGATTTTTTCTTTTAGCCTTAGAATTTGATGTTGCCGCCATGTTGCTGTTTCTTCGCCGTACTGGTTGTTACCAGGTTATGGAAAAAAATAGAATTCTCAATCAGATAAGAGGAACCGGAAAGCAATACAGTGTTTACGACATCACAGAGAAGGTAGTGTTTAAAGACTTAAAAGCAAAAACTTAAAATGCAAGTAATTGATAAATAGTCACAGACAAACTAAATGTTAGTGACAAGGCAGCACTGTCCCAATCGGGCCAGTAATGATCCGGTTTACTGTCCCAAGTGTCTGTCACGCTGGCTCTGGGCCACCGGGCAGTCCTTATTGTTGAGCCCTGAGTGATTATTCATAATAACCCTCATTTGTGTAATAAACAAACGAGTTGAGAATCAAAAGACACGTGAAAGAGAAATCATTAGAGACAGCGCCATGTTCCTGCTGCCGCCTGTTTTTATCATTAATCAAACAAAACGAGAAAATCCCTCTCTGCTCTTGACTGAAGGATTTTTGTAGCTAAAGTGTTTTTCTTACAGTAAAGATGCTTAAAGCACAGTTTGTTGTCTATTGTATTTATTTTTCTACTCTAAATCATGCCTCCAAGTTATGGAATCTTCAACGAATGATCATCCTTTGATTGATAATATTTTAACTAAAGTTCACCAACTACAAAATCAGTTTTATCACATCATTTTTTGCTGGGTTCCAGGACATGTCGGACTTTTAGGCAATGAGCGAGCTGATGCAGCTGCTAAAGATGCTTTGAAGCAAGTAGTGAACAAATGCTAAATTCCTCCGTCAGAGATGAAACCTTTTATCAACGCTTACATTTTAAACAAGTGGCAAAAGGAATGGGATGCATTAGAAAACAATAAACTACATGAAATCCAACCTGAAGTTTCACACAGAATTTTAAGACATTTTAAGAATCGATTTGATCAAGTAGTTTTTACCAGATGTCGTATTGGGCATACGAGAATAACACATGGTTTTTTGCTCCAAGGTGAAAACCCTACTCAGTGTTTGTATTGCAAAACTCATCTTACTGTAAAACATATTTTACTGGACTGTCCTGCTTTTACTGATTCCAGAAGGACTTTTTATGAAATGAACTCTTTTAAGGACATTTTTGACAAAGTAACACCCGAAAAGATTTTAGAATTTTTATCATGTATTAACACAAAAAATCTTATTTAATTTATGTTTTATTTTGTTTGTTGATTTTTAAATTGTATATTTATTGTTGAAAGATTCCTGCCATGAAGATAGCCTTGGTTGCTGACATGGCACTAAATAAAAAATACATTACATTATTTATTTTTCTTTTCTTTGCAGGGTGGAAAATAACAGTATGTACACTTGAAGTCAGAATTATTGGCCCTCCTGAATATTAGCAACCCTTTTCCTGTCCAATTTCTGTTTCATGGAAATAAGTTGTTTTTTTTACTTATTTCTAAACATAATAGTTTTGATATCTCATTTCTAATGACTGATTTGTTTTATCTTTGCTGTGATGACAGTATATAATATTTTACTAGATATTTTTCAGAATACAAGCATTCAGATTAAAGTGACATTCAAAGGCTTAATTAGTGTAATTAGGCAAGTCATTGTATAACAGTAGTTTCTTCTGCAGACAATCAAACAATATATTTCTTAGGGGGCTAATAATATTGACCTTAAAATGGGTTTCAAAATATTTAAACCTGCTTTTATTCTAGCTAAAATAAAACAAATAAGCCTAGAAGAAAAAATATTATAGGAAATACTGTTAAAATTCCCTGCTCTGTTAAACATCATTTGGGAAATATTTATTTAAAAAAAAAATTCTCAGGAGCGCTAATAATTTTGACTTCAACTGATAATCGTTTTAAATAATCAAGATTACAATTATGACCAAAATAATCGTGATTATGATTTTTCCCAAAATCGAGCAGCCCTAATTTAAATGACACTTCTAAATGGACTTCATTACAGTCGAGAAGAAAACAACATCTGAAGAGTTACATTGCAGGATTTAAAATTATTCTTAAATTCAAATAAGACTGAAGTGTCTCTCTCTGTGTGTTCGTGCATGGGAATGAGAGAGCGTCCTGCACAGATTTCTAATACGAACAACACAAACAGGTGACCGTGAACCTAATGTCGCATATACGGTACAATTTTTGAATGGTTTAGGCACAAGCTGACAGTTTGGTGACGCTGTCTGAGCCTTACAACATAATTTTATTATTGTGCACAGTAATATCGGATACCGGGGTAAATAGGGAGGAGGTTTGTACATATCAAAATTTGGATACCGCCTATGCCTAACTATATAAGATATCAATTTTGAAACCATTCTAGCTGCGTCTAAAATGTTAGCTTTAAAGGATTGCATTAGAGGACAAAATAAAGTACTAACATGATATTAATCTGTCTGCAGGTGTGGTGACGCTGATAAAGGATTTTGAAGTGTGTAAAGAGGGAGACACACTCACACCTGAACAGGCTCGGATTCTGGTGAGTGTAGGGCTGCTGTTACTTTGCAGTTTGATATGTGTTTCTCATTTAAAACAAATGATTTGCCTAGGATATGATGTTGAATTTAAAGAAGGCATTCATTCTTAAATTGAAGCATTATTTCAAATCTTTATTTTTAATTTAGAAACTCTTTGGATTCGAGATGGCGGAGTTCAAGTTGTCGATTAAGTGCATGTGGAATTCTGAATCCGGGGAGTTTGAGAAGCTGACAGACGGTGATGATGATGATGAGACTAAAGAAGCAGAGGATGAAGACTCAGAAGGCGAAGAAGGGAGTGAATAAAACCTGCACACACACAATGGACTTTATCTGCCATGAACATTTGTATGTGTTGATCCGACATGAACATGTACACTTTATTTTAAAGAGTGTTCCTTTAGTGAGACTTACTGTCTTCTGCACACTGTTGAGGTTATATTTTCACTGTCTCTACATTAATACAAGATTCTGTACTGCACAGAGAGAACGGCTGAGGGAAACGTGATCTGTGCTATTCTAACTGTTCATTATAAGTTATTGTAACTCATTTTTGGCAACGAGTAAACAAACAACAGTGATCCCACAGATACCACTTATTCTTTATTGCATTTTCATGGGGAAAAAAACGTAAAACATGAACCATTTTTATACCAGTGTTTATTAGGAAGCTGAATGCTGCTCCAAATTAAGTTATCATGCAAAACAATAATTAGACACTATAAAAGTAAAGTGATCTCTGTGTATGAGTTCTTATAAATCAGTCTTGTTATGATTATTGTTTGCTTTATTGTCGAGGTTCGTCTAGCGGAAATAGTTTGGACACTCATGAGCCACTACCTCCCAGGCATGTTTGAAAGCGTCGACGACCTCCTGTTTAAGCGGACCTTCAGCCGCCGCTGTCAGGTTTTCATTCAGCTGCTCCATGCTGGACATCCCGATGATCACCCCGTCGCCCTGATCGCCCTGAAACAGCACACATCTGCCTGTTAGAAATCTAAAAACCTCTGGATGATGTGCATTATGGGATGATTAGGAAATTGAGTTTTTATTTTGTAACTGAAACTTGCATCTTTAAAACCAAATAGTAAAGGGCCTTAGTAAATATTTTAAAGAGTGTATAGGGTTAAAACCTCATAAGAACGGCCACTTTATTAGGTACACTTTGTCATATTTTTACAGTGCAGTATTAGACCGCATGAATGATAATGCTATATGTATGTTTGGCTTGAATTATGAGGTCTCACTTTATTTTAATGGTCCGTTTGTTGAATTTAAGTTACATTGCGTCTACATGCCAACTAATTCTCATTAGATTGTAAGTAGATGGTTAGTTTGGGGTTGGTGTTAGTTGACATGTACTTGCAAAGTGTCTTATAGTCAGTTAAATGTCTTTTAAAGAAGCAGTATCAGCGGATATTAAGCAGACAGTCTACTAATACTCAAATGGACCATCAAAATAGTGTTACCAATTATGAGCTTATTAACTTAAGAAATCAAGCTTTTATTTGCCACTGAAAACAGATTATAGCTAATTGGAAATGACCTTAGTTAACATTAAGAGAGCTTGGTCTTCGAGTCCTGTCAGTTGGCATTTCTGTGTGGAGTTTGCATGTTCTCCCTATGTTGGCGTGGGTTTCCCACAGTTCAAAAATAGGCGCTATAGGGGAATTGAATAAACTAAATTAGCCGTAGTGTATGAGTGTGTGTGTTTCTATAAGTGTTTCCCAGTACTGGGTTGTGGCTGGAGGGGCATCCACTGTGTAAAACACATGCTGGAATAGTTGGTGGTTCATTCTGGAATGGCTACCCCTCATGAATAAAGGGACTACGCCAAAGGAAAATGAATGAATAAGTGCATTATAATTTGAATTAATCAACCTTCATTTGTCACTGAATTACCGCATGTTAAGTAGGGAGTAAATTAGCATGAAGACGTGTTTCATAATCATTATTGCAGGCATTAATACAAACATTTCTAAACATTTGCAACTGCTAATACTGCATATTCGCAATGGAGAATAAGCCAATTGCATTAGCCTAACAATGATTTGAAATCTCTTGCGCTATGAAGTGCATCATAATTTCACTGCCGAAAAGAAACCTTTGCAATTTCATGTACATGACTAAAAATCCTCCAAATTCAGCATCAATAAAATCAGTTAAGATGAAATCATGCAAACGTTGATGAGTGAATGCATTGCACACCTTCAGATGAGAGTGATGATACATCCAGCGAATGGCAGCTGAAGTCAGGCTGGGTTTTTCAGAACCGTACGCTGATTCTAGAGCTTTCTGTACACCATCAATGCCTTGGAAATGACTCTCCTTCCAGTATCTGAACATGTCATACCATTGATCAGCTTTAATAACGGTACAGTTATAATATGCAACTTTTTAGGTCTAAAATGACTCCTCAGTGTTAAATTCTGAGATGATTGTACCTGTCCCGGTAAGCATTAGCCCAATTGTTGCCGAAGAATCGACCCGCAGGCTGAGCGCCGTCTTTATCTTCATAGTGGTATTTACCTGTGAGAAGTCCACCTGAGAGAAGAGACGGTATAGAAGAGCTACAGTATAAGAAAATGCATTAAAAAAACAAAGCAATTTAATTTGACTTATGATCGTGTAATTTATTGTGCATCATCACGTCTGATTTAATGTAAAAAATAAATGCAAATGTATAAAATGCCCAAAAAATCATGCTAAAAAAATTGTTACAAAATATTGAAGTTTTTTTATTACACTAATGCATGCGATAAAAAAGGCTAAGAAATTGCTAAGATAAAAAAATATGTTTTTAGAAACACAATGCTTTTAATTTCTACCATTTTATCTACCATTTTAATTTCACTGCTCATTGCTTATTTTCTTTACTGAAAACTGAAGTAAATTCAGAATTGAATCACAGGAATAAATAACATTATAAAGTGGATTGAGTAAAAAAAAAAAATTATTTTAAGTTGTAGAAATATTTCAACATTTTTAAAAAGACAGTTTCCAAACTTTTACTGCATTTTTGATTAATTAAATGTGAATATGCAAATACACTAACCGGCCACTTTATTAGGTACACCTGTCCAACTGCTTGTTAATGCATTTCTAATTAGCCAATCACATGGCAGCAACTTAATGCATTTAGGCATGTAGACAAGGTCAAGATGATCTGCTGCAGTTCAAACCGAGGATTAGAATGGGGAAGAAAGGTGATTTAAGCGACTTTGAACGTGGCAAATCTTGTTTGTGCCAGACGGTATTTCAGAAACTGTTGATCTACTGGGATTTTCACACACAACTATCTCTAGGGTTTACAGTGAATGGTCTGAAAAGGAGGACATATCCAATGAGCGGCAGTTCTGTGGGCGCGAATGCCTTGTTGATGCCAGAGGTCAGAGGAGAATGGCCAGACTGGTTCCAGCTGATAGAAAGGCAACAGTAACTCAAATAAGCACTCGTTACAACCAAGGTCTGAAGAAGAGCATCTCTGAACACACAACACGTCCAACCTTGAAGCGGATGGGCTACAGCAGCAGAAAAGCACACCGGGTGCCGCTCCTGTCAGCTAAGATCAGGAAACTGAGGCTACAATTCACACAGTCTCACCAAAACTGGACAATAGTAGATTGGAGAAACGTTGCCTGCTCTGATGAGTCTCCATTTCTGCTGACACATTCGGATGGTCGGGTCAGAATTTGGCATCAACAACATAAAAGCATGGAACTATTCTACCTTATATCAACGGTTCAGGCTTGTGGTGGTGGTGTAGTGGTGTGGGCGATATGATCTTGGCACACTTTGGGCTCATTAGTACCAACTGAGCATCGTGTCAACACCACAGCCTACCTGAGTATTGTTGCTGACCATGTCCTTCTCTTTATGAGCAGAGTGTCTCCATCTTCTGATGGCTACTTTCAGCAGGATAACGCACCATGTCATAAAGCGCAAAATCATTTCAGACTGGTTTCAGCAACATGACAATGTGTTCACTGTACTCAAATGGCCTCCACAGTCACCAGTTCACAATCCAATAGAGCAACTTTGGGATGTGGTGGAACTGGAGATTCACATCATGGATGTGCAGCTGACAAATCTGCAGCAACTGTGTGATGCTAACATCAATATGGAGCAAAATCTCTGAGGAATATTTCCAGTTCCTTGTTGAATCTATGCCACAAAAGATAAGGCAGTTCTGAGGGCAAAAGGGGGTCCCACCCAGTACTAGTAAGGTGTACCTAACAAAGTGGCCGGTGAGTGTATAAAACCATATTATAAACAGTAAATTAAATGCATTACCTGCCAGTGGATTGTATGCGAAGAAGCGAATGCCAAAGTATCTTAAACACGGCAGCAGTTCGGTCTCCACCTGGCGCGTGGTTGCATTATACATGCCCTTCACAAGAAAACCACATTACTTAAAGAGACAGTTCACCCAAAAATGAAACCTTTATGAATCTCTTACTTCTGTTAAACACAAAAGGAAGATACTCTGAAGAATGTTGGGAAAACCGCAATCGACATCCATAATATAAGAACAAGACAATATCATGCAAGTCAATAGCTGTTTTTCTAACATTCTTCCTATTATATCTCCCTCTTTGTTCAACAGAAGAAAAAAGAACAGAATTTTCAGTATTTGGGTGAACTGGCCCTTTAAGCAGTACTTTACAGACAGATTTGAAGATTTTACAATTAGTTCATACTGTTCCCTGACATTAATGGTTCATCCACTTACTTGATATACAGTAGGAAGCACCCAGTTATTGTGTTTGCAGATACTGTAGATTTCAGCCACTTCCCATGATGCATAGTTCGATAAACCCAGCTCCTCGAATTTGCCCTAAACATTAAACAAACAGCTCAATATACCGTAGTAAACATGGTGGATTCTGTTTGTGTAATGATGAGTTGTGTAATATCACAGCTTTTGTTTTCTTTAGGCATCGAGGTCAGTCAGATTATCTAAATTATTAATAACTAACAGGGGTGCGTTTCCGAAAATCATCATTAGCCAACTAAGGTCGCAAGTTCCGTCGTTACAAAAATAGTTTGTTATTTTGGCATTTCCCAAATCCGTCGTTCCAACGAACATCCGCAAACTTTGTTTTAAAAATTTGTTATAAATTAATGTATTTTAAATTGTACAAATATTTCTCAATTAAATTTTTTTTTTAAATATTTCACATTTTAAAATAAATAAATGTATTCTAAAATTATTAAAATATATTTTACATTATTCAAATATTTCACAATTTAAAAAATTATTTTAAAATTGTACAAATTTGACAATTTTTTTTTTATAAATGTATTTTTAATTTGTAAAAATAATTCACAATTTTAAAAATAAATTTATTTAAATTTGTACAAATTTTATATTAAGTTTTATTTATTTTAAATTATTTAAATATTTCACATAAAATTATTTTAAATTATTTAAATATTTCACATAAAAAATGTATCTTAAATAGTACAAATATTTCACAATTTTTAAAAAATAAATGTTTTTTAATTTGTACAAATATTATACACTTTGTTTCAAATAAATGTATTTTAAATTGTACAAATATTTAAACTTTTTTTAATAAATGTAT